GTTGGCATCGGTGCAGTCTTGTCACAGGAATCTAATGGTAAGCAACAGCCTATTGCCTATGCTAGCCGTGTCCTTACTAAAGCGGAAGTCAATTATTCAGTGACAGAGCTAGAAGCTTTAGCCATTGTATGGGCCCTGAGTCATTTTTGGGATATCATCTATCATTATCCTATCAAGATTAACACAGATCATTTACCCTTATTGGCCCTTTTGGCGAATAAGAACCTCTCGGGAAAGCATACTCGGTGGTCGCTCACGTTCAATGACTACAACCCTGAAATTTGCTATGTCCCAGGTAAGCAAAATGTTGTAGCTGATGCCCTGTCGAGGCATATAGCATTCGTGAGTGTCGGTAACTCGTTCTCTGTTGAGGATCTCGAGCGAGCCCAACGACAGGACCCTGTGTGGTCTCCAGTCCTTCGTTTCCTGACCAAGGAGGACGTTGACTTACAGGTCAAGTCTCCCGTTCCACTGAAGGATTTAGTGGTCAACCAAGGAGTACTGTGCCGTGTTGCACAGCTGGTGGACCCCGGCAGAACCATATACCAACTGGTGATACCAGAGTCCATGATACCAGCTACTCTTAGGTTGATCCACAATGTCCCAGGTGTAGCGCACCCCGGGAAGGACCGCAGTATCAAACAGGCACGAATGAAATATTTCTGGCCTAAGATGGCAGCAGACATTGCCAAGCATGTACACCAGTGTGTTGTTTGCCTACAACACAAGGGTACCATTACAGGTCCTAACCCCATTCTAAAGTATCCCATTACAAAGGAGCCCTGGGAGATAACTTCTGTCGACCTGTTGACGAATTTCTCGACCTCGGAGAAGGGAAATAAGCACCTGCTTGTAATGAGTAATAACTTGACGCGGTACAGTGAATTAGTACCCATTCCTGATAAAACCGCCGAAACGGTCGCTAGTGCTTTCCGTGAGCATGTTGTTCTTCGTCATACTTGCCCACGTGTCCTTCTGTCAGACAATGGGTCTGAGTTTATAAATGTCATAATGCAGGATCTTTGCTCCAGATTCAACATTCACCAAGTGCCAGTAGCTCCACGCCACCCTGAGAGTAATGGTCTTGCTGAACGTACAAATCGCAAACTCCTGGAGGTGCTCAGGGTAACCGTTAACCCAAGTTGTACTACATGGGATGAGCTATCCCAGATGTTCAGTGTACATTAAATTCCTCCCTCAACAGCTCGATCGTGAGACACCTCATTTGCTTTGTATGGCTATGACAAGCGCTTACCATATGAAATTCTGTTTGCTCCACCTAGACCTACTTACGATACTGATAACCCCAGTGTAATAAAGATGAGGACAACGCAGCTTGTCTTCCAGCGGGTACGAGAGAACCTTAAGAAAGCTACTGATAGGTTCACGTTGGAGCACAATGCTCGCGCCAAGGAAAGCAAAGTGGAACCAGGTTGCAAAGTTATGTTGCTCAACCCAGCGCAGACCCCAGGTATGCACAAACTTTCCCAAAATCGTGGGTCCTTACTGTGTCCTACGACAGCTCCGTGGCAATAAGTTCAGGTGAGGGAGATTGCTACGGGAACTATCAAGGAAGCCCACCTTGATCACATGAAGTATGTGGACCATGTGCAGGCCGAAGCAGAGCTGGAGTCACATGCGTTGCAACGCCACAATCAGACTAATGCTAGGGACAACCCGTCTATCCCTTCTCCCACTACTACTGGTACGGAAGACGGCCCAGTAAGGCTCCATACTTATGGCCTGCGACCCAGGACAACAGTACATTTCTGTGACATTGACGTACCTACTGACTTGTCTGACTCCTATGCTAGTTATGCTAACTGTTTGCTTGCAGAAATGGGTATAAATGCACACACATTGTATAGCTAGTCGATAATGGTAAATACTTTTAGAAGGGTACCCAGAGTGTAATGAATTCCATGGATATAGTATTATTGTAGGTATGTGCACCCAGTGTTTTTATATAAAAAAAAGAGCCTGTATTACGGTCAGGGCAGTGCTGCCCTCTGAGTCACATGTCACACCTTAGGAAATGCTACTGTCAGTCATTGTTTGCAGATGTGAGGGTGCAACATCGTTCGTAGATGAGTGGTCAACTGATGTTCAGCCCTGTGGACAACCTGTATATAGAAGATTTTAGTTCCAGTGCTGACATCTCCGGACTCTCTCCTCGATGAAACAGCGCGGGCAAACCAGTTTTCTCTTCCCCTGGATGGGAGAGTTTTTTTTTTGCCTGTTGCATTTTTATGTCCATTTTTTATTTACTAGTGAGCGAAAGCCAGTCCCTCTCTGGGGTAGCTAGTGTAAGTAATTCCTTTATACCTGCGGGCCCACCAGTATTGTCGAGGTGCGTGGCCGAGCAAAAGGTTGTATTTTGTAAATGTAGACAGCCTGTACTGTCAGAACACACAGCCTAGCCGTCTGCTCTGACTAGTTCATATTTCGCGGCATTTAGGTGCTGCCCTCTGTAGGCTCACTCAGGTCAGTGGGAGGCTGAGCCCATCCGCCCTCACTCCTAGGCCGACCGACTTGATAGACACAAGTGCTCCCCCTCCACGGACTGGCTTGCGGTCACTCCCTCACACTGCCCGTTGTGTACTCATTCCTATCCAATTAAAGCCAAACTAGTCCACGGCCGTATCATTGCTACCTACGCTACCTTCATCGGCACTAAACCGCTGTTCAGCAGTAAGAACAGCAATAACATATATATAATATATATATATATATATATATATATATATATAATATATATATATATAATATATATATATATATATATATATATAATGTCGTGCCGAGTATGTAAAACTGGTCACTTAGCAAGAACTCATTTAAAATTAATTCCTTTCTGAAATTTTCTCTTATGCGTTTCAAGATATATTTTTTTCATTAATGTTAATGTAAAAATTTATAATTTTGCACCAAAGAATCTTAGAAAACTTACCTAACCTTATTATAACAAGAGCAATTTATTTTAGCCTAACCCTACAAAATATATTTTTAGATTTGTTACAACAATTTAAAAATTAAACAAACCCAAAGAAATATTTTTTTTTTTCGTTATGTTCAGAATGTTTTTGGGCGAAATTATTGCATACACAAATTTTCACTTGTCCTATATGGCAAGATGAGCGTTGCTATTTAAGCCAAGATCGCAAGTTCTGCCTATTCGGCACGACATTATATATATATATATATAATATATATTATATATATATATATTATTTTATATTTTATATATATATATATATATTATATATATATATATATATATATATATATCTTTCAACACACGGCCGTATCCCACAGAGGTGGTTGGCCCAAAAGGAAAAACGAAAGTTTCTCCTTTTACATTTAGTAATATATACAGGAAAGAGGTTACTAGCCCCTTGCTTTCCCGGGATTTTAGTCGCCTCTCTTAACACGCATGGCTTACGGAGGAAGATTTTTGTTCCACTTCCCATGGAGATAAGAGGAAATAAACAAGAACAAGAACTAGAAAGAAAATAGAAGAAAACCCAGATGGGTATGTATATATTTCTTGTACATGTATGTGTAGTGTGACCTAAGTGTAAAATAGAAGTAGCAAGACGTACCGAAATCTTACATGTTTATGAAAACAGAAAAAAGGACACCAGCAATCCTAAACCATCACGTTTAAAAAAATTTTCAGGCTTTTGTTTTACACTCACCTCGCAGGACGGTAAATACCTCCCTGGGTGGTTGCTGTCCCGCCAACCTACTACCTAGAAAATATATATATATTTTATATATATAATATATAAAATATAATATATATATATATATATAAACACTGTCTCTGGCTGAAGGAGACTCGAACCTACGAACCTTGGAACAAGGTACTCAGTGCTTTACCAATCTACCCACACTGGACCAATACCTTGGAGTCCAGCTTGCGCTAGACTTTGATCCAAGGCAGCCAGCTTTCGGGGAGAAGGCTTACAGCTTTTCATCTCATCCCCTGCATGCATCAGCCTTACTAGAGATTTTTAACAATGCAAGGAATTCGCAAGAGCAGGCAAAAAATATACAAACACTGATCTCTGGCTGAAGGAGACTCGAACCTACGAACCTAGGAACAAGGTACGCAGTGCTTTACCAATCTACCTTGAGCTTCGTGGCGTCGTCGACGACAGCAGACGTGGGCTTAATCTCACACGATAAACATCGTGGAGATGGTAGAGGTTCCCCTCCCCAACGGGGATCGTAGGGAGACTAAACAAGTAAGGAGAGCTGCTATGACCTGCCGAGACGAGTCAGAAGCAGAAACTGTATGTGTATTTCTGTCTGTATTTACAAATGATATATATAGCTGTCTTCAGCTTTAATTTACAAATGATATATATATATATATATATAATATATTATATATATATATATATATAATATAAAATATATATATATATAATATATATATATATAAAATATATATATATATATGTGTGGTGTGTGTGTGTGTGGTGTGTATATATAATATATATATATTATATATATATATATATATATAATATATATATATAATATATAATATATATATATATATGCAAAACAACCACTCTGAAAGAAAGAAATTCCAAGCGCTTTCGGGACTACTCACGAAAGTGCTTTGGAATTTCTCTATTTTTTTCAGAGTGGTTGTTTTGCATATTCTGAAATCACCCGTTTACTGTGATCTTATTGCATATATATATATGTAATATATTATTTATATATATATATAATATATATATATTTATATAATTTTATTATATATATATATATTATATATTATATATATATATGTATATTATATATATATATATATATAAATATATATATATATATATATATAATATATATATATATATATATATATATATATAAAATAGGTTAAGACAGCAAAAATAGGTTAGCTAAGGTTTCTTATTTTTTGTCCAAAAATAAATATCATTATGTTATTATTAATTAAAGAAAATAATTTATTATTTACCTAC